CCGGGGGAGCCTGGGGACACGGCGGGGGGGAAAAGGACATGGGGGGGTGGGACTGGGGTGAGCGGAGCCCTCCGCTGGCCCCTGCAGGTTCCTGGAGCGGCGCCAGGATGACCCTGAAAGCCTGGAACTGAGCTCGGGGGGGGCGACCCCAACCCCACCGCGTCCCCCCGTGCTGGACTGCACGTTCTGCGGGCTGCCCCGGCGCTACGGGATCGCCATCCTGTGCGGGATCGGCTTCTGCATCAGCTTCGGCATCCGCTGCAACCTGGGCGTGGCTGTGGTCAGCATGGTCAACCCCAGCCACGGACAGGTACGGGGGCAGCGGGGTCACAGACTGCCCACGGACAGGGGACATCAGGGATTGCTGGGATCCAGGCATGGGGCCTGGGCACGTAAGGGGCAGCAGGGCCAAGGAACAGGTATGGGGTCCCGGGGGGGGCACAGGTCTGGGATGTCTGTGGGACAAGGGACACAGACAGGTGTGGGGGACACACACCTGGACAGGGTGTGTCCCCCCACCCTACTGACCCCTCCCCTGGGTGTCCCCCAGCATGCCCAGTTCAACTGGGACCCCGAGACAGTGGGGATGATCCATGGCTCCTTCTTCTGGGGCTACATTGTCACCCAGATCCCCGGTGGCTTCATCGCCCAGAAATTCGCTGCCAACAGGTCAGTGTTGGTCAGTCCCCTGAAGTGGGGGGCGGCCCTGAAGTGGAGAGTGGCCCTGCCTGAGAATGTCACTGTCACCTCTGTGCCTCTCTGCAGGGTGTTTGGGCTGGCCATCGTGTCCACCTCGGTGCTGAATATGCTGATCCCGTCGGCCGCGCGCACCCACGTCGGCTGCGTCATTGCCGTGCGCGTCATGCAGGGGCTGGTTGAGGTCAGGGCGGGGCGCTTTTTGGGGGGTTCAGGTGTTTTCAGGTGTTTGGGGAGATTATCTGGAGAGTTTTGGTGCGTTGGGGGGTTTTGGAGGTGTTTTGGGGTGTGTAGCAAGGAGCTGGAGTGGGTTTGGAGGTTTTCCAGTGACTTTGGGGTGTTTTGGGACATTTCATGTTGATTCTGGGGTATTTGGGGTGGGTTTTGTTCAGCTGGTGAGGTTGGGGTCTGGACATCCCCACACTCCCACTGGCCAGGGCATGGCCAGGGCTTGGCCGGGGTGGGTGTGACCCTTGTAGCCCCTGGCCCCGGTGCCCAGCAGGGTGTGGCTGTATGGGCGTGGTCTTTGTGGGCGTGGCCCGTGACGATCCCGCCCCTTTCCGGCAGGGTGTGACCTATCCCGCCTGTCACGGCATCTGGAGCAAGTGGGCACCGCCCCTGGAGCGGAGCCGCCTGGCCACCACGGCTTTCTGCGGTATCAGGGCTACCGATGGGCTCAGGGGGGCTACTGGGGGGCTACAGGGCCACCACGGCCTTTGGGAGAACAGGGGGGACGTGGCACAGGACCTGGGGGTGTCAGGAACCCAAGGTGGGGTAGAGGGACACCTCCCCACCCCCGGTAATCGGGGTCTGACGGGGTGGGAGCGGCACATAGGGATCCCAGGGCTTGCAGACTGGTGTGGGGCTGGATGGAAGTGGCGGTCCTGGGGTGTCACTGCGTGTCCCCGGCTGTCCCTGGTCACCGCTGTCCCCCCGGCAGGCTCGTACGCGGGGGCGGTGGTGGCCATG